GTGTTTGTTACTTTCTTGTAACACCTCTAATCTTCTGCACTTATATGACCTTATTGTGTTGCAGGTGCCGTTAAACTCTTTACTAAAACCATAACTAAACATACCGTGTGTGCTGGGGAGGGATTGGGGGAAGGATGGATGCACTTTTGTGTTGATGAAATCGCAGATCCAGTCAGTGATTTAGTGGTGTACCTTTGTCTAGGCCATCGTCTCCCCGTGGGGTGGCGAGACTTGTTGCAGGAATAATAAAATGTAAATAATTGAATGAAAAGTAGTCACCGGGCCCTAGATCTACCCCAGACCTATGTGTGCTGCTTTTCCCAAATGTGGTAACTATTCGATTACGAATGGTTGTTAAACCCTCAGAGCGTGAAGAGATTCGTAGAGCATGAATATGTGCTAATATAAATGCAAGTTTTATGTCTAGTAAACCTCCATGAGACTAAGATACTAGAAATAAGAAGATAAAGAGGACGAGGGAAAAAATATCACTGGAAAAGAAAGTAGCAATAACTTATAAAATTGGAAGTGGGTGATAATTGTAGTAAAAGTGATCCCGTTGGTGATTGTTAGTTGCAGTGTACATGATGTACATACGAGTAAGCTTGATCTTGGCTATAACAGGATTGGGCTATAACAGGATTGGGCTTTAACAAGGATATCGCGTCGGTCCTGGCGGTCGTGTTGTAGCCGGGTACCACTGTACTCCTTTTGGGGTTTCGAACCTTGAGTGGTCCACAAACGATGCGGTGTGATACTAACTTAGCCAACAGCAAGCTCTCGCTGCAGACTGAATAGCGAAGGCTATGGAAATGAGAAGGCTAATGGATAGGCAAAGAATTGGGGATGTTTTCTTGTGACATTGCTGCAGCTGCTGTTGTTGTTTTCCTAGATCCTGTGAGTAACTTGTTGTTGATAATGCTGCTGTCGTCTTGATCCTTATTGATTCTGTTTAACAGACACCTCATGCATTGTGGGTGGTTGGCTGGTGTTCTAGTCTGGTTTGCTCCTTCTTTACTCTCAAACATCTATCGTCCTTATCTCTCCTTTTATGTGCGTGTTACTCTCTAGTAACACATATCATCTTTGGCACTTTTATAGGACCGTATTGTGTTGACAATATCATAATTTTTAAAAACTAATATTAAACCAATCATCGGCACTTATATATGACCTAATTGAGTTGCAAATGCGCAAAACCTTTACTAAAACTGAACATATCACTGCTTACTATTTCAGAGCACCTGTCTGCGTAGCTGACCCCTCGAGGTGTCTCTGTCTGTGCGTGGGTCTATACTCACCACGTAGCTGCACGTACGTGACGGTGAGTAGAAACACTTGGCTCGCCTGTATTTTGTGTGCAGTTTGTTACACCCTGATACTTTTTTTTTCTCTTACTTTTTATATATATTTTTTTTTTTGGGGGGGGGGGGGGGGTGACAGATTTATTCTTTTGTTTTTTATTTTGCTAGAACTATATTCAAGTGTTATAATACTCACAATTAATTATTGGTCGTTGCTGGGTGCTCTGGTGTAATTTGCTCCTTCTTTCCTCTCAAGCATCTGTCGTCCTCATCTCTCTTCCTCCTTTTCTTTATATGTTTCTGTCTAGATACACCTCTAATCTTTGGGACTTAAATGGCCTTTTTGTGTTGCAAGTGCCGCGAAACTACTACTTGAGCTAAAACGAACTATTTTCTTATGTTACTATTCATGTTTTGGGAATTTTTTAAAGTGTTGCACAATTTGGCCCAGTGATTTCAGACGAGGAGGAGGAAGATTGAAAGAAAATATACAGAGACAATGCATTGAAATAAATATCCTGTATAACAATACTGTTCCTACCAGTTCATTGTTCTTCGCCATGAGCCGAGGGTCCATTCATTTATCTCGTTTAGGGGGTATTAGAGAGGGTATTCCATCTATATTTCGGTCTGTCTGACTCTCTCAATCTTTCAGTCTGTATCCCAATCCCTTTCATTCTCTTTCTCTCCCTCCCTTTTTCTGTTCGTATGCATGTACGCTGATGATCGATGTAGTCTAAGACCCTGTTATTATGTTCTTCTTTTCCATTTCCCCCAAGAGAACTTTGACCCTTGTCATACCCAG